TACCAGTGCAACTTCAGCCAAGGCCTCGCAAGTCCAGAGGTTTTTAGGACAGAAGCAGAATTGGTCAAAAATTAGGATTTCCCCCCCCTCTCTTTTCCCCTCCCCAAGTCTTGCTCTTTTTCTTGCCCCCACCAAAAAACATCTGGCACTTTCTAGAAAGGCAGCCTTGTGCCCATCGCATCCAGCCGCCTTCCTGCTCAGCACAAGCTGGAGCGTCGCCCGCTGACCCCGGCACCCAGCCCAGAGCGCTCGGCCGAGCCGGAGCAGGTCGTTCAGAGAGAGAGGGAGGGACAGGGAGGAAGAGACCAGGGAGGTTGCGTGCTATGAGCCATAGTCCCTCCGCATCCAGCTCTCGGCAATAGAGCAAGAACTAATTTAAAAATCCGAGCTCAGTTAGTGTCAAAGTTTTCTTTTGATTTCAGTTTGCATGGCTGTGTGTCCTCTTCTCATTTTGCTTTGAGTTTCAGGTTTAACCTGAGAGCAAATTAAAGACAAAGCAGTTGGTTTTAGCATCAAAATTATAAGCTGTCCCTGGTTCCTGCTGAGTTTGCAAGCCTTCTAATACTCAGAGAGCAAGCTGCATTTGGGGGTTAGAAATAAACACAAAGGAGATGAGTTTTGGTTTCAGGATCTATAATAAATGTTTGGCTCAAGATCATTTTAAAGCGTATGTGCCAAACGGTTTGAGAACAGAGGGTTTATCCCGAGGACAACCTTGTCCACCGAGTCAAAGCTCCACCACGTATTCGACATACTTCAGGCAGTGAAATAGCTAATCAATGTAATTGCATTCTTCGGGTTCATAACCAATGAACCCGACACGAGCTCGTGGATGCTTGATTTAGTTTTAGATACGAGAGTAAAGAGCTGAGGTTTTTGACAAGGGAGAGAGAAAGAAAGACTGCAACTCAAAGCTTATGTCAACTCTTAGAAACAAAAGTATTTCTTGAGGTAGGAAGCAGCGAAGTAATGTGAGCAGTGCCCTGTCCCAGGGGGACACCCTCCAGGTAAGCTGCACCGTGCATGCCCAGTGCCCAGCTGCCCGTTGGTGCCCTGGCCGGTGCTGAGCCAGAGCAAGCCAAGCCCTCCCCAGCACCCCGCCACCCAGGCCCAAATGACAGGCCTCAGCGGCACTCAACGCCAAACTGTCAGCGAAAGGGAGGGCTGTCACCAGGGCCTCTCTCCTCCAAAACCCACCTGCAGAACAAGAAGGAGAAATGCCCGGATTTCACTTCTCGCTAGCAACAAATCCCAGAACTGTCGAGTCAGATCAGAAGCTAATCCTGCCATTACTTTAAAAGCCAGTGATTAACGAGCACGAAGCTCATCCTTACCCTCCAGCAGTCTGTTCCAGCGCACAGGACAAAGAATAAGAGGCCCAGCCCTCCTAATGCCATGCCCAGCACATCTAGCACTGCTGCTGCGGTTGGGACACCCATCCCGGCTTGTGCAGAAGCTCTTCCTCCAGCGGGGCCTGTCAACCGGGCGGTCGAGAGAGCGGCGCGGCGGTTGGCAGCAAAGGGTCCCCTGCTGCTCGCGCAGGCAGCTTGCCGACGGTGAAGCACTGGAGCAGATTACCTGGAGGGGCTGCAGAGTCTCCATCACTGGGAGTTTGCAAGAGCAGGTGACACGAGGAGCTGGAGTAAGAGGACATGAATTTTACCGTTGCAGGGAACCCGGCTGTGCGCAGGCACTATTAGAGCATCTGGCCGCTGGGTGGAGGGATTTGGTGTCCACTGAGCAAAAGGGCTCCTGGGAGGAATCTGCCTAGGGCAGCAGGTGGATATTTGGATAATGTCTCTGCATGGCTCCTTTCCGACACGGTCAAGTTCCTGCGCCGTCTTCGCGGGGTAACTTTGCCCTGGGTTCATGCGACTGGCTCTGTAGCAGGGCTGCGCGCATGGGGCATCCACTCCACTTTTGCTCATAAAGTCAGTTTATTCCATAGCAAACAAGTCAAGCGTCCACTTCCCAGCCTGCCGGGTCAGAGAAGTGGGGTTTTTTGTCAGCTATGGGTAGGATCTTCCAGGGAGCGCAGGGAAGTCAGGCGCCTACATCCACAGAAGCTCGGAGCGCATGCCATTGGGCTCCATTGCAAATCCCATGCTAAAACACACCGAATCCTACCCCTGCCTCAGCTATTGTGACGTACAGCAGCAGCAGGGGGGGCTAATGAAAGGCACAAGAACCGGTCCCGGGGGCACTGCCAGGACCCTCCTCCCAGCATTGCTGCACTGAGCTGGGCGAGCAAGAGGAGAGCGCCCACGAGCCGTCTGCAGCAGAGGGAAGCCGCAGCCGCCTGCCGGCCCAGCTCTCCTGGTCTCTAGCACGGGCTTAGGCAAAAGCACCAAACGGCGTTTGAGTAAAGCCAGGTGCAAGGTTGGACAGGAGCGAAGATCGCTTACAACTGGCAGGATGCAGAGGTCACTCGGGGACCTCTGCCACCAGACCCAGGTTTAGAAAGGCCTGGAGAGTTATGTGGATAACGAGGATGGCCTCGGGGCCATCGGCCAGGGAAAATAATTTTATGGGAACATAAAGCAGGCTTTAACTGGCAGGAATTTGAGATGGTTTGCCTGTGAACCACCGCACACTTGGGGAGCCCTCGTGCCTTCCTCTGAAACAACAGGGCCTGGTCCCACTCGGAGACAGGACAGGGCTGGATAAATCCTGCTGTGATGGGATATAAAAAGGAGCGAGCCAGAAAGACTTGCTCCAGAGCACACGTATAGGGGCGCCCAGAGGCCAATACACAAAGCCTGAGAGGACAGAGAAGCCCTCCCTGGGGAGGCAGCCGATTACTTTGGGATGTAAAGAACAACACTGACTCCAAGTGGCTGGTCGCTGCGGGACGGCGGTGGCCTCTGAAGCTCGCCGGAGGATCGTGCTTCATAGAATAAGAAATTCTTTTCACTCCTGACAAGTTTTAAGTAGTTTTCCATTTTAAAATATGCGAAGTAGTGTCCCTGGAGCGGCTATTACTGTTGCTATGGAAAGACTTGAGACTCTCCTATATTACATGGTAGCAAGTAGAGAAGGCAAGGCTTATTCAAGAGGCTTAATTTTTTTTCTGTCTCAGTTTCACTCTCTCATTCCCACCCAAAACCCCACAAGTACAGGCCCTTCCCCCCACCCCCTTCACCCCCACAGTAAATTTCTAGCTCCTTTC